TTGCCCTTGTTTTTTTTTTTTTTTTAAAATTGGAGTTTGCCACACAACTGTTGTGATTTGTGAGTCATTCCTCTCAAACACTAGGGCAACAGATTGACCTTAAAATCATTGACCATGCTTCTAATCTAGTGATCTAGATTGCTCCAAATACACTAAAGTTGCAACTGAGTGGCAATTGAAGTAAAACTTGTTCTTAAAGTAGCACTTTTAAATGGGTACGGGTTTGGACTGATCTTGTGAGGGTTGAAGCATTTGGTTTGTCTACAAATTAGCCTGAAGATCAATTATGGACACGGGTGGAGCCAGGAATTTTGTCCAAGCGCACAATTTAGCCCCCGTTAGGCGTCTGTTTTTTTCTAATTTTTGAACAGGAAATTAGTGTATTTGTATTAAAAAAAATCAAATCAGTACACAGTTTGTCAGACACCAAAGTCTTGCCACTTGACCGTTGAGGGAAACTACCTATTTTGCCCTCCAATCCAATTATTTGTGAATAGCACCCTCTCAAATATCATTTTAAAAATGGAAGGGCATTTTCGGAATTTCTGTAAAAACATGGTACCAGCATGTCACTCAAAAACCTGCCATGCATGACTATCAGATATTGTACTTAGTTGAAGGACATTGGGGTCCACACAAAATTCAATTTCCTGTTCAAAAAATAGAAAAAAATGGATGCCAAACGGGTGGAGCCAGAAATTTTGTCCAAGCGCACAATTTAATTAAATAAACAGTTAAACACACAAATCAACAAATTGTAACAACACAAAAGCATCAAACAACACTTTTAATCTTCAAAATATGCATAATAATGTCTAATAAAATGCCAAAATTAGGTGCATCTAGGTTTTCATGATAACACAATGCTACTGAATGACTCACAAATCACAACAGTTGTGTGGCAAACTCCAATAAAAAAAAAATTTCTTATAAAAGGATAATTTCCTAAAGTGGAAATGGTAGGGTTTTATACTTGGCTATTCTCTTTTTCTTCTCATGACTCTTTGGCCACTTCCCCGCTCACATGAGACTCCGCGTTGCCTTCACCGGTTTCCAAGGCTCCTGAAAACACCAAAATTAAGCATACTTCAAGAATTTTTTTTTTTTAATTTATAATGAGACACATTATAAATAAGAATACTTCATGAAAAAATTTTTTTTTTGCAGACTTTACAACAACCTTCATTTTGTACCACCATAGGTCTCAAACCTTTGAGAAATTTGCACCGAATGTCCATTTGGATAGAAATCGTCCAAATGACCGTTAGTCAACATGAAAAATTAAAAAAATGAGATATTTTGATCATTTTAAGGAGTGGCATTTACGTCCATACAATAATTTCCCTTTAAAAACAATAAATAAAAGAAAAAATCATTCCACCCACCCACCCCACTCCCACCTTTCCCCAACACCAAAATCCCAAAAGCCCATTGCCATTGTGGCCCCCGGGTAAGTGACAAGGGTATCGAATTGCAAATTAAACTCGTACTTGAGGAGATTGTGAATGTACTAGCAATTGCCAGTCCAACGGGTTCCTTTCGGATTGGCGACGTAGATCCAAAACCAGTCATTTTCCTTTGCTTGTTCATTGAAGTATAGGCGATCAGGGCCTTATACTCTTCCTTCAAACGTTGCGTCCACGCTGCACCATCGCATGGGCCAGCCTTTACAGACAACAAGGTAATCTGGCTTAGCGTTGATTTTGTTGTCGGGTCCTAACCCTTCATGTATTAAGTTTTGTGGATTTTAATAGCCCATTTGGCTTTTATTCAGGTGGCAAGGTTTTGATTGCTTTGGTGCGCAGAATGGTTTATTTATGGATTCTATTTACAGGGTTTTCCGAAAGGAAACATTGAATTGGTTAGTTTAGAAAACGCCATCTAGATTGCTTTCAAATCTGAATACTGCTTTTGGTTTTGGTATTCAAAGGGCATCAAGATTTAAAAAATCTCAATCTTCCCATTTAATTGAATATTGCTTTTCTCGAAAGAATTCTAGGGCTAATACATGCGGCTCAACTTGTGAAGTATTAAATTGTTCTAGTGTTTGTTACCCCCCAGAATTAGAAGCTCCAGGTCAGCAGTCCGTGTGGGCAGCCACGTATTCCCTTTAGCCAAGTTGACAGAAAGCTAGTTGAAAAGTCAATGGGGAAGCCAACACAAGCAAGGTCAACAGAGACATCTAAGTCCGAAGCTCCTTCATTCAAAGACAGAGGCTTCTAAGTCCGAAGCTCCTTCGTTCAAAGACAAAGGCTTCTAAGTCTGAAACTCCTTCATTCAAAGACAGAAGCTCCTATGTTCGAAACTCTTTCATGCAGATGCAGAGGCTCCTTATAACCGAAGTACTGAACCTTAACGCAGACGTTCCCGCATCCCAGATTCAAAGATCTCTCAGAACTGATTGACGTGACATTCGCCATGAAGTTTCTGTAGCATTAGTGTGTGTTAGTGAGTCAGTCAAAGTAAAATGGCGGATCTTATGCAAAACAATAATTGTAAAGATTGGACATTGATGTGAGGCTTTAGTCTAGGGGTGTCGCCACGTGGATTAGATCTAACGGTCACCACGTCAATTAGATTAGTATAAATAAACCCCT